AAGAAGAAAAAGGAACTCTTACCATTTGCCACAGCATGGATGGAACTGGAGAGCGGATAAATACCACAGGATCTCACTCATTTGTGGAATATAATGAACAACATAAACTGATGAACAAGGACTGATCCAGAGACGGAGAGGCATTGATTGGACTGTCGGGACTTGGAGGGAAGGTAGGGGAGGGTGGGGGTAAGGGGGAAAGATCAACCAAAGGACTTATATGCAAGCATATAGGCCTAATCAATGGACATGGACAACGGGGGGGGTGAGGGCATGAGCGGGGGGGGTGGGGGGGTAGAGGGTAACGTGGGGACAAGGACACATAATATTAATGATCTGATCCTCTATAGAGGGTTTACCAACCTCTGCTTTACCCTATATATTGATATCTGATAGGGCAAGTTCTCCTCATTCTTTTTTTTTTTTTTTCTTTTCTTTTTTTTTAATTAAATCTTATTGTTCAGATTATTACATTTGTTCCTCTTTTTTTCCCCCCATAACTCCCCTCCTCCCAGTTCCCGCCCCACCCTCCGCCCTCACTCCCCACCCACTGTCCTCATCCATAGGTGCACGATTTTTGTCCAGTCTCTTCCCGCATCTCCCACACCCCTTTCCCCCCAGGAATAGTCCATTCCCTTTCTATGTCCCTGATTCTATTATAATCAACAGTTCATTCTGTTCATCAGATTATTTATTCACTTGATTCTTAGATTCACTTGTTGATAGATGCATATTTGTTGTTCATAATTTGTATCTTTACCTTTTTCTTCCTCTTCCTCTTCTTAAAGGATACCTTTCAGCATTTCATATAATCCTGGTTTGGTGGTGATGAACTCCTTTAGCTTTTCCTTATCTGTGAAGCTCTTTATCTGACCTTCAATTCTGAATGATAGCTTTGCTGGATAAGTAATCTTGGTTGTAGGTTCTTGGTATTCATCACTTTGAATATTTCTTGCCACTCCCTTCTGGCCTGCAAAGTTTCTGTTGAGAAATCAGCTGACAGTCGTATGGGTATTCCCTTGTAGGTAACTGAGTTTCTTTCTCTTGCTGTTTTAAGATTCTCTCTTTATCTTTTGCTCTTGGCATTTTAATTATGATGTGTCTTGGTGTGGTCCTCTTTGGATTCCTTTTGTTTGGGGTTCTCCGCGCTTCTTGGACCTGTAAGTCCATTTCTTTCACCAGGTGGGGGAAGTTTTCTGTCATTATTTCTTCAAATAGGTTTTCAATATCTTGCTCTCTCTCATCTTCTGGCACCCCTATAATTCTGATGTTGGTACGCTTGAAGCTGTCCCAGAGGCTCCTTACACTATCCTCGCATTTTTGGATTCTTTTTTCATTTTGCTTTTCCGGTTGGGTGTTTTTTGCTTCCTCGCATTTCAAATCATTGACTTGATTCTTGCGCTCCTCTGGTCTGCTGTCGGGAGTCTGTATAATATTCGTTATTTCAGTCCGTGTATGCTTAATTTCTAGTTGGTTCCCCAATATAAGATCGAGGGTCTTATTAGTTTTCTTGTAGATCTCATTAAGTTTATCGGCGGCTTCTAAACAGTTCTTGAGAGACCTTAAAAGTGTGGTTCTGAACTCTATATCTTCCATTGACAATTTTGTCCTGTTTCTTTGTCTCCGCATTTTGTTATGCTTCCTTGGTGCACCCCTAGTGGTCTTTGTTCGCAGTCTTATAGTTAAATCTTGATTGTTGTAGCTAATTCCAGGGAGGGTTTGACCTCCAGGCCAAGTGGCTATGAGAATCAGCTGTGTCAGCAGTGAGAGAACTTCTGTCCTCTAGGGAGGTGCTAATCTAGCGTTTGCCTGAGGCTATCCGGCAAAAGCCTCTGTGCAGGGCTTGGGCGGGGCGGGTCGCACAGGATCAACAGGGTGGGCCGGAGAGAGCAGTTATGGCGGCTCTCAGTCCTGTCCCCAGGGGCTCTGCCTGTCTGAGTCCCAGCACCCGCTGCAAAGCTCAGAGAGAAAGCTGCACTCGCTCTGACCGAAGCCAGACAGTCCCGCTTCTCCCGTTTGAGTCTGGGTCCCTAAAGACTCGCCCGGATCTGGAGCTCAGAGTCTGCGACTCCCTCCCGATTGAAAACGCCAACCGCGCCCTCCGCCGCCAGCCCGCTCAGCGCACTCTGCACCTCAGAATTTGACTTCAGCACTGCGCCTCCTCTGAGTGTCCGTATGCGTTTCTCTTTCCTCCTAGTTGTAGGACTTCCACTCAGCCGGCGTTCCTGTGGTTCTGGGTGATGTCCCTTCCGTTTTTTGGTTTCACTTTTGAAGTAGTTGTTCAAGGCAGCAAACTCCGGCGTTAACCTATGCCGCCATCTTGGTTCTCCGACACATATGTAATATCTTCATCAATAAAAAATATATTAAAAAAAAAAGACGGAAATGTTAGACTAGAAACCACAAAAACCCTAGAAGAAAACACGCAGTAACATCTCACACATTTCTCGTAGCAGTATTTTTTCTGACATATCTCCTCAGGCCAGGGAAACAAAAGAAAAATAAACAAATGGAACTATATAAAAAAGAAAATTGATGAACATCAAGATCTGTCTCTATGCTGCCTCTAAGTGAGCTGTGGATCTCAGAGATGCAGACTAAAATAACTGCATGGGGCAATGTACCCATCACATAAACTGTAATTGCACATATAAATCTACACTGTCCAGGCCCTGAGAGCTGCTCTGACAGCCACCACAGAGCTTTGATTTTCCATTGCTGCCTTTTATTGAAGTTTCATTTCTCAGCAGGTTGCAGCCAACCCCCAGTGAATCTGATATAGGTGCCTTGGGCATCACCACACTCTGAGCAGCACTGCTCCAGGTCAGTGCTTTCAAGCTGCAGATCCTGAAACTCTAAGGGGTGTGATGCCATTAGTAGGTCTGAACATGCACTTTTTTTTAATGAAGTAGAATAATCTAGGATAAAATAGAAAAATCCCTAATTAATCAAATATATATATATATTTTTTTTTTCTTTCGGGGCCGATCCGAGGGCCTCACTAAACCATCCAATTTGTAGTAGTGATGGGAAATCAAATATATTTTTTAAAATTGTTCCTTGAAACCTTTATTTCAGACACACGTATGAGTACAGTGGTCTTGATATAAATAAAGTGTATTTATTAGCGTGTGTTTCAGTGAAAAAGGGTTTGAAAGTCACTGGTCTAGGACATCCTCTCTTGTTACCATACCCTCGTCCCCTTAAATATGCAGCAGCATACCTCATACTCTGCTCCTGCCCCTGTACTAGATCCGTCCAATGTCAACATTCAGGGAATGTGTAACAGCCACTAAAAGGAGTCAAATCCTGGATCCTGAAGGTCAGAGAGCCTCTATGACTAAACCAGGCGATTCATCAAATCTAAAAGTCTAAGAAAGTAGGGGAGGGGGAGGCCCCCAAGGACTTCAGCACCATCAGAACCAACCTCATGGGCCTGAGAAATCACTCCATAAAGCCATGTGTCTTTGAGAAACAAGTGAAGTTGTTTCCAGTTCTACTGATATTGAGGCTGAAGGCCAGAAAGTATTATAGACATTGTATCCAAACTGTCATGGACCAGCACCAGATGTTCTTTAAAGATGATAATGAGGAAAAGGGGAAAGTCTTTTTAATTTAAATAAAGTATGAGGGCAGTGGGCTTGGAGTCCATCCACAGAGGAGGGAGGTGGCTTTTGGGATTATCCCTCAACTCAGTGGTAGCAGCAACATTTAAAAATAGCCCAAGCTAAGTGAAATAAGTCAGTCAGAGAAAGATAAATATCACATGCTCTCACTCATTTGTGGATTATAATGAACAACGTAAACCGATGAACAAAAACAGATGTAGAGACAGAGAAGCATCGATCAGATGCTCAAAACTCAGAGGGAAGGTAGGGGAGGGTGGGGGTGAGGGGAGAGATCAACCAAAGGACTTGTAGGCATGCATATAAGCATAAGTGATGGATGTGGACAACAGGGGGTGAGGGTGAGGGCAGGATTGGGGGGATGAGGGGACATTGGGGGGAATAAGGACACATTTGTAATATCTTAATCAATAAAGGGAAAATAAATAAAATCTTTTAAAAAAATATATCCCAAGAAAGGTTTAGGAGGGAGCAGGCGGAGGGCCCAGCACACCCATCTGGGTTTGCTCTCTGGCTCTTACCCCTGTGCCACTCAGACTCCTACCTTCCCTCCCAGGCTGGGGGACAGGCGTCCTGTGTTCCAGTGTTGGCTGGAACAAACAGTAAGTTTCTTAGCAGCCTTCAGTTTTCTCAGGCGCTTTAAACGGAGTCTACCGAGCAATCCCCGGTAGACACCACTCCTGCCATGATGTAAGCATCGCAGGAAAGAGTGTTACTGCTTGGCTCTGTGGCGCAATGGATAGCGCATTGGACTTCTAGACAGTTGTTAGAGGCATTGGGACGCGGCTTTGGGCTGCTGGAAACGGAGTTCGCGTTGCTGTTTGTTCTGGTCACTCTGGGCCGAGGTTGATGGGTGTCGTTGAGAGGAGCGCTCGGAGGAGCCAGGCTAGAGTTTGGTCAAGGAGAAAACCTTTGTCAGAGAGACATCGTGTAAAACATGCAGGGCTGTTTGAACTCTACCACTAGCATATCTTTTTTCAAAAAGTATTTTTAATTTAGGTATCAGTGGACTTGGAGTTAATCAACAAAGGAGGGAGGTTGCGTCGGGATATCCCACTACTAGTAAATGGTGGCACCTGCAAGGTTGAGAAGGGAGCAGGAGGGCCCAGGACTCCCGCCCTGACACCTGCAGGCAATGGCGCCGGCGCCGCGGCGCGCGGTGACTCCAGTTGGGTCAGGGCGCCTGCACCTCCCGGGAGCTGCCACACGGGGGCAGCCTTGTCGGCCGATCTATGGAGGCGCGCAGGCAAACGGAGATGGCGTGGCGAGACTAAGCGTGGAACACGGGACGAAACCGCACTGTCTCCTGCTTCCTGGAGCAATAAAGGAAGATCAGACAGACAGAAGGAAACCCTACCCCAAGGTGTAACAAAATGGCTCCACTGGGGCTCGAACCCAGGACCTTCTGCGTGTAAAGCAGACGTGCTAACCGCTACACTATGGAACCGCACGTGGGGCTTTTGCTCGCCAAGACGAAATAACTCCACACAAAGACCTTTTTCTTTCCGCTGTGGAATGAGGCTGAAATGTGATTGATGTCAGGCGATCTTTGAGGGAAAGAAATATTCAAAAGAGTTTCAGACTCTCAAACACAACTCCGATCCACGCTTCTTCTTGGTAACACAGAGGACACGATTTCTTGGAGAAAAATATCGTACCCTGGCCCGCCAGCGAGCAATCCCCGGTAGACACCACTCCTGCCATGATGTAAGCATCGCAGGAAAGAGTGTTGCTGCTTGGCTCTGTGGCGCAATGGATAGCGCATTGGACTTCTAGACAGGTTAGAGGCATTCAAAGGTTGTGGGTTCGAGTCCCACCAGAGTCGTTTTTGTTTCGATACGGGGGAGGGAAACTAGAAGTAAAAAGAGAAAAAGCAGGAAAAAACCCTACTCATTTAGTAGTAAAATCTCTAATCCGACTAGCCCACCATGAAAAGGAAAGAAACTGGTTCCGGTGCTTTTGTTAGGTCCTCATTGGTGAAGGTGTGAGAAATCCCACTACTCGGTCTTTTTGATTATTTTCATGTGGCTCCAGAATTTCCGTTGACTGAAGACGAAGAAAATAGCAGGATGTGATAAAGTTAATGAGATATTTTTCTCTCTGTACATTATTGTTCTTTTACATCAGGAATAAAAATTTTAAATTGTCCTGCAACTTTTCAGCAGCTCAGTCCTACTCAGATTATCAATCAATAAGAGTAGGCCAGGAGGGTGGCTTAGTGGCTAGAGAACCTTGGCTTCAAGGCTTAGTGGATTTTGTGTTTTTGTAGGTTCAAACCCTGTCTCTGCTAGAAGCTATTCTACTTTTACCAAGCAGAAACAGGAAAAATTTTTCCAAACTCCCGAATATTTAACCATGGTTAACTGTGTGTCTGTTGAGCAATCCTAGGTTTTTCTCCAGGTGACAGTAGTCAACACAGTTAAGTGACAATGATATTCCCACCTGAAAGTTAGTGACTTTTTGCCAGACATGGTTTGAAAAACAGAAAATGATCTGCGTGAAACTATCCTACACTATGGGGGAAGCACACTGTGCAGTGAAAACATTCACTCTCTGGCATTAGTTCTTTCTTAAGACCCTGCTATGTGACAAGTACTCTTCTAAATCCTGGGATTGTGGGCATGCAGAAATAAAAAATGCAAAACTAAACAAAAAATAACAGCAGCAGAAAAGACCAGGTCCCAACCAACAAGGTTACTGCCCTGAGGCATTTTTATGACAGAATAACAGAGGGGAGAGATGGTTTATAAACAAGCAAATAAGTGGAATTTCAAGTGGCAATAAACGCTGCTATAACGAAAATAAAGCGGGGTGGCACGGTAGAGTGGCATAGAACTTTCTCAGGACAAATTTATTCCATTTGATGATGGAATCATTCACCTTGACAGGAATGTTCTCCCCTTCTCTCTACCAAGACCAGTTCTGCCCCTCATCCTACACTAAAAGCCTTCCCTGACCTTTGGCCCACATCCAACTATCCATTCATTCATTCAGCAATGGTTTTTGAGAGCTTGCTGTGTGCCAGCCACTGAACCAGGCACTGGGGATATACAGGGAGTTTCTGTCCTCACAGCAGAAACATTCTAGAGGGAAGACAGACCCATTAAACAGGTGTTTAAGGTCGGTTGTGATGGGTGCAGCAACAGTGACAGGCTCAGAGCCCCCAGTACCTAATTCCTTCTGGAGATCAAGCAGGGATCTCTGGGGCAAGTCCTGATTTCTGCCTCTCTTTACAGCAGGGGTCCTCAAACTTTTTAAACAGGGGGCCAGTTCACTGTCCCTCAGATCGTTGGAGGGCCGGACTATAGTTTAAAAAAAAACTATGAGCAAATTCCTATGCACACTGCACATCTTATTTTGAAGTAAAAAGCAAAACGGGAACAAATACAATATTTGTATTTGCATGTGGCCCACGGGCTGTAGTTTGAGGACCCCTGCTTTACAGATAGGATGGAACTTCTAAAACAAAGGTGGGAAGAAAATGGCATTTCAAGTGGGGGGGGGACATAAAAAAGCGGGGGGTGGCACTGTGGTGTGTTAAAGGAAATACAAAGAGCTCCAGTTAACTGTCTCTATGCTAAGCAGGCTACTAATATATTGTATTCAGTGTTTGGCTCCTGTCAATCTAGTCTGTCCTAGGAGAACAGGAAACAGGTCTTCATGCTCTCCTGCATTCAGAGCTGTACTCAGCAGCCATTGTGACCGCAGGACTGTTGTAAGAAGCTGAGCCAAAGGCTCACTAACTGCCCCCAGGATTGACCTCGTGGCCCAGGAGGCTGTCTTCCAGGGGGGCCTGGATTTAGTGTTCTTGCTTGAGCCCAGATTTGTCATCTGATTCTTAGGGCCCCACATCTTTATTTGTGGAAACTGTACCTAATTCATTTGTGATTTTTCAATACCAGCAACTCTCCGACAGAACCTTGAGGCCTGGAGGGATTTCCTGCTGGGAAGAAAATACCAGCTTTTAACATTTCTCTGCTGGGATCTGTCGAACACACGGGATCTGGGATGCTTGGTCAGAAGAGCTGCCTATGTGATCGCAGAAGGTGGAATAACTTAACAGATTACTTCTTTTTTTCTTCTTCGTTTAATTTATTACAAGAAATACATGCTTGTTCTTTAAAATCCAATAATACAGATGTACCTGAAGAAAATGGTAAGAGCCCCCCCCATTTTCAAACATCATATATATGCCAAATGTATTAATATATATAGTTTAAGGATACATATACATATCTTTTAATTTTTTTCATAAATATAATACCATGCACATTGTTTAGCACCTTGTGTTGTTTTTGCTTTACATGGATATCTTTCCGTACGGATCACCTTTTATTTTTTTATTTTTTATTTTTTAAAAATATATATTTTATTGATTTTTTTTACAGAGAGGAATAGAGACTTAGAAACATCGATCAGCTGCCTCCTGCACACCCCTTCCTGGGGATGTGCCCGCAACCAAGGTACATGCCCTTGACCGGAATCGAACATGGGACTCTTCAATCCGCAGGCTGACGCTCTATCCACTGAGCCAAACCGGTTAGGGCCAGGTCACCTTTAAAATATTGCTCATAGTTCCGGGTACATGTCTGCATGAAAGAATGCAGACCTCAGGGTGCCCTCACTTAGTGGTGTCCCTGAACTCCCAGGAGGACTGAAATGCTTGTGAGGCTCCACCCCGTAGGATTCCCTTCCCGAGTGTTCACCCAATGCCTGAAGAAATGGCATGGCATGGCATAATAAAGGAGCAGGACGAATGAAAAAAACAAGACTCTAATTATGTCCGGGACACAGCGGCCCAGGGTAACAGGACTCTCTAAAACTATAAATGTCAGCCTCTAGCTTGTCTGATCAAAGCCCCTCCGATGACAGCTTCAGGAAAACGTTCAGTCCTCGGCGCTCGCGCTTTCCCGTGTGCTCAGGAGTCTCTTCCAAGCCTCCAGGGGCGCAGTCACCACGCTCAGCCCTTAGGCATCACCGGCCCCTGAAGACTTGGCGGCTCCTTGATTCCGGCGTTGGCCCGGTCCCCCGGGATCCGCAAGGGCGGGCCTCGACCATCAAAGCTTGGACTGCGTGCTTCTGTTCTTCGTGTCTTCCGCCGCATTTAGGACCCGGGACCCGGGACCGGGACCCGGTCTTTGCAGCTCCGCAAACGTGCTCGGGTCCCGGAGCGCGGCATGCACTCAATGAGTGTCTGCCCAATAAACTGTTGGAAACCTAATCAATTATTCATGATGCTCCACCCACAAGACGCTCCCAATCTGCAAAGATTGGGATTCGGCCAAAACTGGGATGAGAAATCCCGCCGCTGCCCGAGGCCCGCCCAAAGGTCCTCCGTCTGGAGAATTCCTCCTGAAGGAGCGTTCAGCTCCCTTAAGACGCGGAGGGACGGCAGGTCAGGCAGTCTGCCTGTGGTGGGAGAAGAGGAGGAATAAAGACTCCATTCCGCCGAACGCCTGCTCGGTTTGATTTTGTACTTTCACTTCTCAGTGAATCAGCCAAAAGATTCAGAATTTTAATCCAGTAAGAACCGAATGTGGCCCCTTGGCCTATTGTACTGCAGATTGGTGGGAGCAAGCTCTCCCCGTCAGAGCCCGGATAGCTCAGTCGGTAGAGCATCAGACTTTTAATCTGAGGGTCCAGGGTTCAAGTCCCTGTTCGGGCGGGCTTGTTTTTATACACACACTACACTCCGCATTTGCAATGGATGAGAAAAACTTTCAAGTCCAGCGAGTTGACTGCACTGGAAACCAAACCCAACACCTTTCACCTATAACCCCGACGTTTTAGCCACCCCGCTACTCGTTACCAATTCATATCCAGTAGTCACTAGAGTGAGTGATTAAAGGACCGGGTGAAGATCATTGCGAGGTTTATGTTTTCTTTTTTCTTTCTTTCTTTTTTTTTTTTCTTTACTTTCTTTGGTTCATGATTTCTTTAACAGGCTCAAGCTCTTAGATTCCTCAGTACTAAATACTGTAGTCTCCTTGTCATGTGCCTGCTGAGACACTATAAAGAAAGACATGAACCCTGTCCTAACCAAAGATAGGTCTGCAAAAGACCTGCCGAAACCCGGGATCGAACCAGGGACCTTTAGATCTTCAGTCTAACGCTCTCCCAACTGAGCTATTTCGGCAAGCTTGAGAAAAGTTCCTATGCTGCTCAGGACACTTTTTTTGTTTGTTTGTTTTTTGAGAGTTACATTTATTAAAGCTGAGGACAGTGAAATAAGGAAGGCCCTAGAATAGAAGACCCAACAGGAGAGAGCCTAAGCGGGCTGCTTTGGGCTCACGGAGAAATAAAGTGAAAGCGGTGAGCCAAGGAGGGGCGGCTGCTATCCGCTCAGGGAGAGTCAGAGAAAAGGGGGAGCCTTGGACGGAGATCCAGGGGGTTAGCCCGGGAGGAGCTGCTGCTGCTGCCCATTGCTCCCCTGGTTGCAAATCTCCG